CCAGCCAAGAGCTACATTCTTTTCCAAAGCAAGTAGAGTTGCCTTTACTTTTCATCTGCATGCCTCACTGCAACTTCAGATGCTGGATCATATTTGTTCAGATTTGTCCGCACATGACTATATAATCATAGAATGAGATAATATCGTGGAGGGAAATCCAGCAATATTGAAGCACTTACAGAAAAAAAAATCTGACCTACTCTTGAGAAATCAAGAAAGACTTCTCTGAGGAAGTAGCATTTGATCTGAGACCTGAAGGATGGGTAGGAGTTACCTAGTTGAGGTGGAATGGGGTGGAGTGTTTCTAGGAAACAACATACACAAAGGCCCTGACAAACGCACATGAAATTCTAACCAGGTCAGTGTCACTGGAGTAAAGAGAGGAGGTTTAAGGGGACAGTACATTTAGTTAAGATTGGAGAGAGGGGAGAGGAGCCAGGAGTTGACAGAGCCTTTGTAGGTATGTGAGTTTAGGTATCTATTCCAACAACAGTGAAGGACATTAAAGGGTAACATAAGGATCAGGCTTTCATTTGAAAAAAATCACTTTAGCTTTAGTGTAGATTAGAAAACCAACTGGAAACGAAGAAAAGTGGAGGAGGCAACAGATCAAGCTAGAAATGACAGTAAATTTAACTCAGGTGTGAGGAGAAAAGTGGAATCAAGAACTTTTACAATGAGTCAAAATGCTATTAATAAAACTGATTAAAGACCTATCGTGATAGATTTAGGTGTTGAGTGAAGAAAGGATGGTTCCAAAGATCACATCTAAGTTTTTGGCTTGAAGAACTGGATGGATAATGGAGTGATATACTGACTTTGTGAAGACTGGAAGAGGCCAGGATGATGGAAGTTCACACACTGAGATAAGAACTTTAGAACTTGCAGTGCATGTAAAACACTCATATAGACATCTTGAATAGGGATTTCTGTACTTGTAGGTAGAACTTGAAGCCACAGGCATGGCTGAAACTTAGGAAAGCATGTAATATAAGAGATGTTCATAGCACCACTAAGTGCTCTCTTAATTCTTTTACCTTGCTTATCTCCCCAATCTCTCATCAAAACCAAATCAAATGTCTTAGAATAAAACATTTCAGTTTCTTATTCTTACACATTCACTCTTAACTAAAATCATTTAAGGAAAATCTCACTTTTAGTACCATAATACTTTCATTCAGTGAGAACTATCTACAACTTGGGAAAATTTATTTGGCCAATTGCTGAACAAAATAATACAGGATATAATGTGTAATGTATACAAGTATGTTTTGCTCTATAAGTTGAAATAAAATTAACAGAATTGTGCTCCAGATTTGTTGCATTTCAAAACCAAAATTTACCCAAATTGCCCAGAAAGAGCAAAAGCTTTTGATGAAAAACTTACTATTACTAATTAAACTGATTAATATTCTCTTTATTGACAGGTGACTTTTTATGTATCTCTTTAATAAATGGTTTTGTTCAACTTCGCTACAATCTTGGTGACAAAACTATCATTCTAGAAACTCTCCAAAAAGTAACTATTAATGGAAGTACTTGGCATGTCATAAAAGCAGGAAGAGTTGGTGCAGAAGGCTACCTGGATCTGGATGGGATAAATGTAACAGAAAAAGCATCCACTAAAATGAGTTCCCTGGACACAAATACAGACTTCTACATTGGAGGAGTATCATCCTTAAATCTTGTAAATCCCATGGCAATAGCAAATGAACCCATAGGTTTTCAAGGTTGTGTTCGAGAAGTTATTATAAATAATCAAGAATTACAATTAACTGAATTAGGAGCAAAAGGTGGTTCAAATGTAGGTGACTGTGATGGGACAGCCTGTGGATACAACACGTGCAGAAATGGGGGTGAATGTATAGTAAATGGCACAACTTTTTCTTGCAGATGTTTGCCACAATGGGCTGGAAACACATGTAACCAGTCTGTGTACTGTTTGAATAATCTTTGTCTCCACCAATCTCTATGTATACCTGACGAATCATTTTCTTATAGTTGTCTGTGTACTTTGGGTTGGGTGGGAAGGTATTGTGAAAACAAAACTTCATTTTCAACTGCAAAATTTATAGGGAATTCTTACATTAAATACATTGATCCAAACTACAGAATGAGAAACCTTCAGTTCACTACTGTATCCTTAAATTTCAGTACTACTGAAGCAGAAGGCCTAATCGTATGGATGGGGAAAGCTCAAAATGAAGAAAATGATTTTCTAGCAATTGGTCTCTATAATCAGACCTTGAAAATAGCAGTTAACTTAGGAGAAAGAATCTCTGTGCCTATGAGCTATAGCAATAGCACACTGTGTTGTAACAAATGGCACCATGTACTTATAATTCAAAATCAGACTCTAATCAAGGCCTACCTAGATAACAGTCTAATTCTTTCCGAGGATATTGATCCACACAAAAAGTTTGTTGCTCTAAACTATAATGGTATTTTTTATCTAGGGGGTTTTGAATATGGTCGAAAGGTAAATATTGTTACTCAAGAGATTTTTAAAAGAAATTTTGTTGGCAAAATTAAAGATGTTACATTTTTTCAAGATAAAAAGAAAATCGAATTAATTAAATCAGAAGGATATAATGTTTATGATGGAGATGAACAAAATTAGATTACATAAGTTAATATTGATGATTTTAATACAGAAAATATGAATACAAATTTAGTTAATTTGACAGTTATTTCTTTGGTAAATTATTTACAGGGAATAAGCTGTTTATTACCTGAAATAGTCTAAATGCTAACATATCTTTTTTATAAACTTGTAAAATATCACTGAAGAAAAGGTTGTTTTCCTACATCTAATTTATCTGTATATATGTTGATTCCTATGTTTTAACTCCATTAGTTCATTCAGTGTTTACTCATCTATGAAAGTTTAAAAATAAAATTCAGGTGAGAATGAATTAATGATAGTACAAATAAGGGGAAAAAGTTATTAACCAAAGGAAAAATAAAAATTATACAAGGAAATGTAACCATACAATACTATGTGGCTCAGCTATAATCATTTATATGACTGCAACAATATAAAACTTGAATATGGACTTAAACCAAAAATTATTGCATGCTGGAAGGGGAAAAATGAGGGGAGATGAGAGTGGGCTGGTGAGTGCTAAATTCTTATCTTTCATAGTAAGACATCAATAGATAATACTGTATTTGTAACTTAAAATATTGCACATGCATGTCACAAACGTGAAGGCGAATGTCCTAAGAAATGTCTAAAAGGATTAAAAGTGGTTGCCTCTGGAGAGAACAGTGCAGAGGACTGTTGCTTTTTGTTTATAAACCTTGTAGAACTATTTGACTTCTTAAACCAAGTACTTACATAACTGATCAAATAAAAAAATAAATTTCATTTATGTTTAACTGTTGTCAAGTCTACAGATCTCAAAATCAGGCATAAAACAGGTTCTGAACACCACTGAAAATTACTTTCCTTGTATGTATTGCTGAAAGCGTACTTGAAAAGTATATATTTTGCCCAAACATTAGTTATTGATATAATTGTGAGTAGCAGTTTCACCTGCTACTCCCACTCCATCACTGCAGATTGGATGGTAGTTATTGCTGTTATTCCTTAGCACTTCTAGACTTTGATATTTATAATTTTGCCACCAAGAAAGCAACAGATAACATATAACTTTGAGCACTAACAGGTAGAACAGGTCATGTGGAGGGAGAAAAATCTTAGTAATAAGCAGCATGTAGGGTTTAAAAGGAAAAATACATAATTATCCATCAAGTAAATGAAGAAAAGAATTCACAAAGATAAGCACTGATGAACACAAAGTTAACACGTGTGCAGATTCTGGTCTACACAAAGGAACTAGGTTGAGTAATTTATCATTTGAAAAATACTAGATTTTTAAATTATTTTAGCCTCTCTAATCCAATCAGAAAGCTACAGACATTCCTGGAAGGATTTAGGACCAAAGTGAGTAAGAACTTTGGCACCATTTAATAGGGCACAAATGGCTCCCAGACTGTTCCTATTGACACCAGAAGTGTGAGGGCAGAATATAACCTAAGGCAGAATTGCAGAATGTCTACATATTGATTCAAAGGTTTTTTTGTTTTTTTAACAGAAACCACTCAAGACAACTCCATCTAACATTTGCTGAGAAACTTTGACCTAAACTTGTTTTCGTTCATACCATTACATTTAACTTTGGAGATCCTGAGATTATAAGGACAAATGCTCTAAAGAAAACTATTTTAGCAGCTGGTAATCAAATCTAACTTTAAAAAAAAATACACGTTATGTATTTAGAGCCAAGAAAGCTATTCTACGGAAGTTTACAAAGTCTTCCAAGAAACTTTGCCTGAACTGCATTCCCGTATTAGGCCACAAGTTCTTTCATAATATACTGTGCCTTTTCCTTAAAGCAGAGCTTCCCAGAGCATGATAAAAAGACCCCTGAGGATCCCTGAGATCTCTTCAGGAGATCCAGAGAGTCCTCTCTTTCCCAATGACAATTCCGTATGACGCCAAATTTTCTTCATAAATTTCAAACAAAATGACATATTGCAAAACACTGAATGCAGAAGCAGATAAGACAATCCAGCTGTCTTAAGTCACACATTAGAAATATGTAAAAATGAAAACGGTGACACTCTTTTTACTAAATTTAGTTTGGAAGTCATTTTTCACATGTTACATTAACATATAATGGGATTAGTGTTAAATTAACAAATATTTTATCACTTTAATTTCTAATATGCTAAATAATGATACAATCCATATAAACGAAAGCTCTTTGGTGTTCTCAAATTTTAAGAGTATAAGGGGTCTTGAAACCAAAAAATTTGAGAATTGCTGCATTAAAGTTTATTCTCACAGCTGCAATTTTAAATTCAGATGTTATAATTTGTCTGCTCTGCTACTCTGCAAGCCACACAAAATTGGAACCTTCCCATGTTGCTCACGACTGAATTTCAAGAAGCAAATGCAGAATATTATGCCTGCAGAATAGGCACACAATATTTAACTGCTACCTACAGATTCTCCTATAAGTTGAAATGACTTGAGAACACTTTTTTCACCTTAAAACCCTGCAAATTTCATATGACAAATTAGCATTACTCCTGTTTTGGTTTTTGCTATCCTAGTGATGATAGTGTTGAAGATCTCCCACGATATGCCTTTCCAGCACAAGATAAAAACGATTGATACAGAATTTTACTAAGAATGTTGTAATACTTCTCAAAGTGTTCAATGTAAACATGAGAACATTTTTAAAAATAAGGTGAAATATGTAATATGTAAACCAGGGGATGACAATATTATTTACCTTTTGAAAGACTTTTAAATAATAAATTCCTGGGGGAAAAAAATCATTACTTTGGGGAAAAAGTATTCTCTTAAAGAATATTTTCAAAAGACAGCTCGGGCTGGCCGGGTGTGGTGGCTCATGCCTGTAATCCTAGCACTCTGGGAGGCCGAGGCAGGTGGATCGTTTGAGCTCAGGAGTTTGAGACCAGCCTGAGCAAGAGCTAGTCCCTGTCTCTACTAAAAATAGAAAGAAATTAGCTGGACAACTAAAAATATATAGAAACATTAGCCGGGCATGGTGGCACACGCCTGTAGTCCCAGCTACTCGGGAAGTTGAGGCAGTAGGATTGCTTGAGCCCAGGAGTTTGAGGTTGCTATGAGCTAGGCTGATGCCACGGCACTCTAGCACGGGCAACACAGTGAGACTCTGCCTCAAAAAAAAAAAAAAAGACAGCTCAGGCTGATACACACACATACTGAATTATTTCATAAAAAAGGTTATTCTGGAGATATATATATATATACACATACACACACACACACACACACACACAAGACTCACCTTTCTTTAAGTATTTATGCTGGAGTTTTCCCCTATGACTCTGTTCTGCATCTATCTATAAGATGAAACTTAGAGTGGACTCAAGTTTTCAAAATAATTCTAGTTATTGATCTAATATTTGTTTTTCAACTCACCCACTACCTTCTTGCTCTACATGTGAATTACTAAAATTCATTATGAAACAGAAATCAAAGAATCAGGGTGTATGGCACCCCTTTAAGAGCAGTAACCCATTTTATTCACAGTTGGCTCTGGGACACAGAAATCAATGCTGATTAGGTATATAGTTCTTAGCAATCATTGCCATTAAATGGCAACCTGACCACTGTTTCAGAGGGATCTAAGATGAGTACAGTACAACTGGTACATCCAAATGTTAAAACTAAATATCTGTTTTACTAAGATCCGGTTCATTAGCAAGCTCTCATAATGCATTTAAATGTGATTCATACATTTCTTTAAAAACACAGCTACTATTAAAAACTTAGGAATAACTGAGTGTAAACTTACCTGTTAACAAGTAGTCTTACATGTTAATACACATACATAAACAAATATGTTAACACCCAAGGGGCTTCTCACTCCATTTTCTTCTCCATTGTTGGTATTATTTTTCTTAAAAATTTAACATATATTTACTACAGCCTTAGATACTCTGTAACTCCAAAAATGTAAGATTAGTTCAACCACACTAAGCTACAATTAGTGAGTCAAGTGCTGTGGTAGGTAGAATAATGGCCCCCAGGTACACCCGTAAATATGTCAGGTTACAACCGGCAAAGGGGAATTAGGGTCACAGATGGAATTCAGTTTGCTAATCAACTGACTTTAAAATAGGAAGATTATCCTGGATTATCTGGGTGAGCCCAACATAATCACAAGGGTCCTTAGAAGGGGAAGAGGGAATCAGAAGGGTCAGAGATGGTAGAGAAAGGCTGGGTCCTATATAGCTGGCTTTAAAAATAAAGGAAGGGACCATAAGCCAGGGAAAGTGGGTGGCCTCAGGAAGCTACAACTAAGGCAAAGATATGGATTCTCCCCTAAAGCATCCAGAAAAGGAATGCAGCCTGCTGAGACTCTTGATTTTACCCAGTAAGATCCACATCAGAATTCTGATCTACAAAACTGCAAAATCATAAATTTGTGTTGTTTTAAGCCACTAAGTTTGTAGCAATTTGTCACAGCAGCAGCATAAAACTAACAAGACTAGAGAATTAGGATTTGTCATTAACATAAACTGAAGAACCCACAGGTTTTGGGTTATATCTTCTTGCTCACTTTGAGAATTTGGCTTGCTCAGTGAAGGGTTTCAGACAGGCTGGTGGAATGGGGAAAAACAGGGCTATGAAAGGTGTATATATTAATCAGGCTTTTGCTTCTCTTTCCTGTTCTCAATTCTCAGAGCACAACAGCCAACCACATGGACATTGGAGAAAAGTAGAACTGAGGTAGTATTCCAGCTCTGACAGCAGTCTAACCAGAGCAAGTTTTTCTACTTTCTAAATTCTAGTTTCCTCAGCTCTAAAACAAGTCTTCACCTTTCAGGGCTGACCAAGGTTTATATAAAGTGCTCAATACAAGGGGTGGCCTACAGAGGGCTCATGGAGACTTTCTTACTACCATAAAAAT